GATGAAAATGTTAATTGCAAGGGAGACAAGAAAGGGGAAGAGCAGAAAAATCATCTTGGAAAAATGCATAGACTTGTTTAATCATTTTTATTACGGAACCACAGGAAACTGACAATTATCACAGCTGATTTCTTTTTCTTCTTGTAAAGGAAACATTTTTACTTAAACTGTCATCATCTCATAAGCACACTATAGTTTGGTAGTATCCATGCCAATTTGCTAACAAACGCAAGAACTGACTTCATGGAATATTGTTTTCTGATATACTACCAACTATGCAATCCCAGTCTCTTGAGGGTTGTTCTTATTTAAACATATAGCGGTTTTGTCATTCATTCCTGCAAAGTCACTGATGACCTTTAACTTTGCAATTAGAAGATAAAATAACAAATATGTTACTATATTATTTGAATCCATATCATTTTGTTAACAAGGAAAATGGAAATTGTTCTACAGCAACATCATAGGAATAAATGCCTTCTGAGATAGTTTCTACACTTCAAAATAAACAGAAGGAAAAAAAGATTTCTGCTTTCTGGTGCTCTTTTGTATAACTGAAAAAAATCATTATTAAATTAACTAGTAGTTGTAGTAATTCTTTAAGAATGGATACATCTTTTCAAATATAAAGTGCATGTTGTAACTCTTGGCTGCGTATGTTCATTGTGTTTTAAACTGTCATCTGTTCATTTGTGCCAGCTTATATATGGTGGCATAGTGTTTAGGTGCAAAACTTCCCCAGGGGGGAGCCCTCCCCTCAAAACAACATGCTTAGAAAATAGGTGGCATGTTTCTTTCTGAATCAGTGCTGGACAAATATCCCTGCATCGTTTCATAATCTATCATGCCGTTGGAGATTCTGCCATCTTGCTAACAGGACATAAAACTGGCATCGTGCCTCCTCTTGTCCAGAAATGTCATGGCTTTTCCCCGCCCCAGGAATGAGCATTAGCTTGAGTTTGACAGAAGACTTCCCATGCAAATTTCCCTCCCTCTGCTTAAATTCTAGTGTGGCTTCAGCCCTCTTAGGCCTGGACCTCAAGAATAATACCATGAACTAGCATGCAGCATCTTACACTTTGCAGCAGTGCCATTTCACCAAAGAGACCACTGATTTTAAGAACTGTTCTGTGTACTCAGAGATGAAAAGGGATCACACTCAGCAGCAATGGTCCTGATGAAGATATTCAAGTTGACTGAGGAAATAACGTGTGCAGGTGGAGAAAGTTACAGGCCGCCACGTGCGTTCTCATACAGATACCTCTCCGCTTTGTTTTTAAATACATCCATGGAGATGAAAGTAATGAAACCCCAAAGGTTGAACAGTCTTAAGCAGCAGAACCTGAAGGTGGTGCCTGCCAAAGGCAGGTGGGTACAAACACACACGGGAACCAACCTACACGGAGGAGCCTCCTGCGCATCAGGCTGGCTCAGTCAGGGCCGGACACAGGCACAGGTGAACCAGGAGGCTGCCTGTGCCTTGGGCAGAAACGGGGCCTGAAAATGGTATTTAAAAAGCTATTAGTATTGTCATTATCTCTGGTGAAGGGGGGGCTCGATACTAAAAGTTCGCCCGGAGTCCAGTGCAGGGTGGCACAGAGCACAACCATGCGAGCGCCCCGCGGGGCTGAGCGAGGGGGTTTCCCTCTAGGCCTTGACATGGCACTGGTGTTTCTGGCGTGACAGGAATGGCTATTACAGAAGCTTGGTTGTGGCACTGCAGCGCGTTTCTCCCTTTGGGGCCATACAAAAAACTAAGAGCTCTTGGTTCCTAGAGGATACCTTTTCTTAGACCAACTGGGAACAGTCGCAAGAGCCGCGTCCTTTTCTGCAAGCTGCCAGGATCCAAGTCCCTTGGTCCGGCTCGGGGAAAAGCACAGGTGACGCGGACTCGCCCCGCGGGGCCGTAC